AAAGCATTGCCGCTGGCCAGGCTGATGAATTTGCAAAGTGGGCGAGGAAGAACGAAGGATTAGTGAGCATGTCAGGGAACGACGTTTCAATTGTGAACGAGATTGCCAAAGCTGCAGCGAAAGCCGTGGAGCAGTCCGCAGATGAGACTGTTGAGAGGCTCGGAGCTGCGCATGACATGTTTCGGGCTTGTGCTGAGATGGGTGCCCCATTGAGCGAGGTAGACCCCGAAACAGGCTCAACAGCCGTGTTTACAATCGCAGAAAGTCTTGTTGGTTTGAAGAGCCCCACCGCAGAAAGTCTTGTTGGTTTGAAGAGCCCCACCGAAGCCGTGAAAGAATCCCTGAAGAGCATGATCAAAGGCATGGCCAGGTCTGGTGCCAATGTGACGATTCCACACAAAGGCAGGCGCCTGAACGAGCTTCTTCCGGATCTAGCTAAGGAGCTGGAGAAGGAGACACTCTTGGGCTCTAAATGGCAGTACTGGGTCGATGACGGAATCCATGGCAAGTCCGACGGCTGGTACGACTACGATGCACAAGCTTGGCAAGCGGTCAGTCGGGCTTATGATGACTGGCTGCGTGACGGCTCTGTACCGGCGATGACTGTCAAAAGCGGTTGGTACACTTACAAGGTCAGCTTTGGTGAGATGATGCAAGAGAACATCAGCACAAGGAAGCGGCGCAACATTCGCCGCATGGTTGTTGAATCTTCTTCCGGCTCCTCCGCAGCCTCGGCAGAGGCGAAGTGCACAATCTCGTAGTGGCCTGGTGAAGGCGACATTTGGCCGTGCACCAGCTTCAAGCCGTGCTCCATGGCTCGGAGCATTGGCGTGAGTATGAAACACACAAGCTGTTAATTCGATGTGTGCACCTTTGCGTACTCTGCAGGATTGAAGTACGGCTTAAAAGATGCACGTCAATCAAAGCATCAAGGCAGAAGGTGTATTTCTAAACAATTTTGCATGTGAGGACGGCTCAAGCAAAGCCGTGCTTCTGCCACGAGCCAGCGTGGCAGTTTACTACTGTGTTGCACGGTTGTCAGCATGCTTCACGGTTACAGCTAAAATCTAACATAAAACCTACAGCACGTAAAAATGACCTCTTCGGATCCTTGTCCTGGCAGCAGCAGCAACAACAACAGCAGTAGTCGTTGCAGCTGCAGCAGTTCTCCTTCTTGCTGGTGCCGTTGCTACCAAGGCAACTGCTGCTGCTACTGCAAAGTGCTGCTGCTGTTGCTATTGCTGTTGCTTCCGTTGCCGTTGGTGCTGCCGTCTGCCGCAGCCACTGCCGCTGCGGTTGCAGCGATTGTTATTGTTGTTGTTGCCGCTGTTTCGACGTCGTCATCGAACCGTGTGATTGTTGTTGCTTGTCATGTTTAGGGTCTCTCCCTGTGTCCAGGTCGGCTTTGTAGCTGGTTTCTGTCGTTTGTGTCCAGGCTTCTGTCTCCGCACGCCTGATGAAGCATGCACAAAACTCCATAAGCCTGGGAACGCTGTCGAAGATCGCCAGTTTTTTGTTTTCATTAATGCGATTATTACCCTGATAACTTTGACCATTGCTGCTATCATTCTTGCGATTACAAGAACTGTTGGTGCTACTATTATGATTTGTACTAATAAATCATTACTTTTACTGTTACTGTGACTGTTACCGTTGCTGTTGCTATTACTATTATTACTACTATTCCTTAGATTGTACCACTATCACTATGACTATTACTGTTACTACCACAACTGTCAGTACTTGTTTGGTTACTACGATTTTGATGGTGGTTATGGTTGTGATTATGATTATGATTTCGATGATGAGTTTGATGATGATGATGATGGCGATGCTTTTGGTGATGATATGTGATGATGATGATTATCGTCGGGGTTGTTGCTGTTGAAGTTGTGGTTAAGAACAGCCCGTCTTCGACGCGAAGGAACCAGAAGCCGAAGCACAAAATTTGAGCTGCATTGAAAGAGAGCCGAGGCCGCTCCAAAAGGCGCCGAAAGTGCCGTGGCTTGGGTTTTTCGGGATCTGCGGTTTAGGGTTTAGAGGCTTAGAGTTTAGGATTTAGGGTTTAGGGTTTTGGGTTTTGGGTTGAGCGTTTAGGGTTTAGGGTTTGGTAGTGGGTCATTTGCCAGGTCAGTCGTAGTTATCGCTGCATGTTTGTGACGATTGTGTTCTGGGTTGTGCTTCGCAGTACATAGTAAAACGGCTTGGGGTCTTGATCTGATCAAAGCAGATTGGCATTCGCAGCCGCAACTGAATGCCGGAATGTTGAAGGGTCTATTGCCCATCAGCCACCTACTTTCAACACACATACTGCGCCCTCTCGTTCCAAATGCTTGACTGACGTGAAGCATTGCAGCAGCGACATCACAAGCCGTCACAAGTCACATGCAAGTGATCATCTGCCGAGTTGAGACTCTCTGGGTTGCCGCGAATAGAATAGTTTAAGAGTCCAACAGCACAAGAATCTAGACAATCTCCAGTTCTGCAGAGATTACACTTGATTGGATGATGGTGCCAGAATGAGGGTTTTCAATCCCCGCACGGAGCAGATCCTGTATGGTCATCCTCTTCGCCACAGTAGCCTCATTTCACTCGAGCTCTTGGCCGGAAGGCTACCCGCTTCCTCGGAGTCCACGGCAGTGGCAGGCAACTGACTCGCATTCTTCTAGAACCGGGGGCTCCCTCAACATTTGCCTGCATTTGTATCGAATGCGAAGGGTTGTCATTGAAGCTGACTTGGGAACACGACCCTTTGGATGGCTTCAAGCACGAATGCGTCAACCTTGAACAACGAAATCTGTGCCAGTCCTCTGGACAGCCTCCATCTTGGGCATCGCTTCATGCGCCGGGAGCCTCGAAGGGGAACTCTGCTAGACGCGGGAATGGTGTGGGCAAGACTTTTCAGATCCAGGTGCGAATAAACTTGGGCTATGTAAGAGCATCAGAGTTTTTAGGTCTGTATATCTGACGGCTGCCTGAACTCCGTCGTGCAGTCGATGGGAATCAGCATGTATTTTCAATCATGCAATCACTGCACGGTGATCAAATCCTCCGGTGCAGCTTCACAACGTGAGAATGCCGGTTAGTGGTGGGTGAACCCTGGCAGCCCCCACCATGCGGCGACTGGTCTTTCTGGCTGGTGCTTCGGGAGCGGGATGACGGGAAAGACAACGGTCGCAGAACAGCTCCGGAGTGGCCACGGCTTTGTCCATTTCGACGGTGATGCCTGGATGCATGGCATGGATCCGGTGAGCCAGGCAGGCCGGAAGCCCACGCCCGAGCAGATTGAGCAGTGCCCGGAGCGCAACAGGAACCTTCGGGCAGCTGTTGAAGGCTACTGGGCAAGCAAGGCTAGAGGGGAGGGAGGCGACGATTCGGTCTTGGAGAAGTTCTCTGGAGCGATGGCAGAGGACGTTTGGCATCGCCGAGCTTGACCAGCGCGCGGTAATATGAGGTAAGCCGAGGGCGCGAGACGTCCTCAGACGCGCCCTGGGCCCGAGGCTCGTATTCTTGGTGCTCTTGGTGCCTTCAGGCGGCTCGAGGAGTCCGCGGCAGTTAGCTTTGAGGAGTGCTTGGAGAACCTGACGAAGTCAGGTTCTCCCGGCTGAGAACGAGGAGGCCACCTTCGAATACACATGCATCTTCTACCCTGGATCTGATTTTCCCTTCTCAGGCCCAACGGGCAGGACTCGCCGCCGCAGCTCCCACCCCTGCAGGGTCCTCAGTTGGGTTGCAGAGTTCAGCTTTCTCATAACATACAGCATTTTGCAATGCATGAGAGTCTGCTGTAAAGTGTAGACTGTGGAAGTTGGGGCTTTGTTTGATCTAACCCCGCATTCTGCAGCTGTCTTGGCTCAAGTCGTTATTGCAGAGGTTTCAGGGCTTGCACACAGCTGCATGCCAATTCCAATGCAGTCCATCCTTCAGTGTGCCATGCTGCAGGTGATGCCACTCGCAGTGGTTGCAGCGTCTCAAGAGTTTGTTGTTTGGCGACGGTACGCCGGCGGGGGCTGCAATGACCATGGCATCGGCGGATCTCGCGTCGGACCTGTGCAGTGGCCCGATGACCCCGCCATATTCAGGAGTCTTCGAAAAGGTGACCGCCAATGCTACACATTTCAGCATTGAGATTTACAACGAGAGCGACCCAGATTGCAGCGGTCAGGTAGAACAGGTTTCCGCGTACAAGAAAGATGAATGCAATGATGGCTTTTTCGGATCCGATCACCTGGCGGTCGTGACGGCTGAAAGCTTCGACCTACTCACCTACGATTCAGCGTCCTGTAGCGGCAATGTGGTTGCGACAGTTCCTCAGATGATCGGACTTTGCACATCAGCTTGGGTAGAGAATGCCCCTAGCAGCACCAAGGCAGTGTGTGAAGGAGGCCAGCTCGTCATGTACAAATACAACACCACCAGCGACTGCACCGGCCCGTCGACAAACAGCATGGTTGCCGTGGGTGCTTGCGTGGATGTGCTGTGGTTTGGACAAGCCAAGTTAGAGTCAACCCCTTGTGATGGTACGAGCAGCGGAGCTTTCTTGTCCAGAAATGGCAAGTCTCTTGCAGCTGGGCTTTTTGGGCTCTTGCTGCTGTTGTTCTGATAGATGCAGCTGAGCTGTGCTGGCCTGGAATTGATGCAACAGACTCACCTAAATGAGCAAGCTTACTCTGACTGTGAGGGAGATAGCGGACGAGACATTTTCTTGTCCAAGCCAAACCTCTGCACATTCTGCAGGCCAGCCGCTAGCAGAGGCCCGCAAAGTAGGCTTCGTCTGTGATGCGAGTCCATGCAAGACCTTCTGGAGCTGGAGTTTCACGGATGATTGGTGCTGGGTTTTGTTGACGTCTGGGAGGTTCAGGCTAGAAGCCCTGAGATCGCTCGCAGCTCTTGTAGTGCCATGTGTTGCTTGTGGGCCAGGCTCTTCAACCCCTGAGCTCAGACAAAGCCGGTGACTTCGTTAGTCTGAAGGAGCATGTCGCTGACAGGAGTGTGGCAAGACGGTGTCAGCAGCCCTTTGAAATGGACCGGTGCTCAGATGCGGATGTCGGCATGCCTCGCAAGGAGACTGGATGACCTGCGAGGGAAGTAATCGGTGTCAGTGCGATCGCTAGAACATGAAAATCCGGCAGCGGCTTGCGAAATCATCTTCTGCATCTCTGCAGGGTGAGCCCAGCACTGGCACCACTCTTTGTCCGGGATCCAAGGTTCAGCAGTTTGAAGTAGGGAAGCACTGCACGGAAGTGAGACGTTCTGCGGTCAACCCAGCTCTGGCACCTTCCAGTGTCCGAGATGAGTGTTTTTTTTGGCTGGTCTTGAAGCCTTCGCAGTCTCAGGGCTTCGCCGCCTCCAGCCCACAGTCTTCAAGAGGTGGGGAACGCTCCGGTAAAACGATGCAAGGTAGACGTGGGCACAGTGGACTTGCATTTATAAGCCCACGGCTGTGGGGGCATACCTAGACTTGGGTTGTGTACCAGCAGCTGGCTCGCAGTTTGCAGCACATGCAAAGAGATAGCCACATTAGCAAAAGTAGGAATCATCGTAACAACACGAGGCATATAAGTGGTACTAGTGTCAGGAGTAACGGAGTAGTAATAGCAGCTTAAATGGCAGTAATGGTGGTAAGAGTAGTAATAAGAGCAGGAATAGGAGCGGTGGTAGTAGTAGCATCAGCAGTCGTTGTCGTAGTCGTCGTCGTAGTGGTAGAGCAGCAGGAGTAGTAGTAGTAGTAGTAGTAGTAGCAGCAGTAGCAGTAGTAGTAGTAGTAGTAGTAGTAGTAGTAGTGGTCGTAGCAGTAGTAGTAGTAGTAGTAGTAGTAGTAGTAGTAGTAGTAGTAGTAGTAGTAGTAGTAGTAGTAGTAGTAGTAGTAGTGGTAGTAGTAGTAGTAGTAGTAGTAGTAGTAACTCCGGCTCAGCTGTGTCCCAGCAGCGGGACTCATTTTTATGGAGGTAGTAACATCTATGCCATTTAGCAAACCTTGCGGTGGAACCCTGCTCAGAAGCGTGATGGTCACATTCCTAGTGCAGCTAGCCACGCTAGCGCTACTGTCGACTCTCGCCAGCTGGGAGCCTCTAGGCCCCAACAAAGGGTGCACGGGTCTAACAAATGCCTTTGGCCCTGGCCTGCCAACGCGTCGATCTCCCTGCGCGACAGCCATACCAGCACAGACTCCTGTGACAAGAGGACAGCCACTTCTGCCATTGTGCCACTGTCTGTGAGCACGGGGTGCAAGCCCCTTCGCAAGCGCATGTCTACCAGCAGCCAGGAGTTGGCACAACATTCCCTGGAGCTGCCGCGAGCAAGACATGGATGCCACCCGCATTCCTCCTGGGTGCGGCCATCAACCCGCCCCATTGAGCGTACAGTGCCGCACCTCCTTATAGATAGCCGGCCCGGTCCCAAGTCCGGGATGGGATGCCGACTGAAGACTTTACAGTACTTGTGTATACATATTGTCAGGTGTCCCACAGTGAGGGTTCCAGCTCTTTCCGTTGGAGCTGGGGAAGGCAACTCCCTTGCCTATCAGCGACGACCTCAGGTGCCGAAGCTAAACGGAATTCAGGTCACAGGTGGGAAGCAGGAACCTACGCACAAATGGAATCGATATGTCAAAAGATCCTTTTTGCGAGCTTGTAACAGAGCTATTCGACATGGACATGCGCAACCCCTGTGCCTGTGTACCTTTCGTTTCCTTCAGATAGCCGATGCGTGTTTAGCTGCAGATCATCGCTACCTTGTCCCTAATGTTGACCGAAAGCTGGCGGCGGCAACCTACCCCATCCTGGGATGGGATGGCCCGCACTGGGTCCCGGGCCCACGTATGCTTCGAGATGTGGTTTGGATTTTGACGCGTGCGTCCCTCCAGGTCACAGTTAGTATGTGCGAAAAAGCTGTGTTCCGGCGATGCTTTGCAGCCAGACCTCTTGTGGGTGCTGAAATCTTTGGAGTGAGCCTAGTGGTGCCATTGTCGGCCCTTACTGTTTGATGCTCAGTGTGCCATTTTTGGCCAGTTGCCAACCAGCCGTGTTATCACGTGATGCGCTCTCGTCGTTTGTGCTCCGTGATGCCTTTGACAGTCTGAGCATTTTTGACGTTTATTTGTACATCTGGTATCCCCCGATCGTAGTCAATAAGAGCGAGAACGCTGGGTCTTGCGAATACGCTGAGTAGGAGTAGGCCTTGAGTTTGCAGTTATTCGTGGCGGAATGCGACCTTGTGGTCAAATTGCCCGAGAGGCACCGGTGCAAGGCACTGCCATTAGACTGACATGCCAAGCCGAGCAACCGGCTGCGATTGGAATGAATAGTGGTAGTAGTAGTAGTAGTAGTAGTAGTAGTAGTAGCCGCCACGGCTCAGACGTTTTGGAAGTTTCGCGCTGGCTTTCGAACAGGCTCTGGACTCCAACCCTTCGTTGCTAGAGGTCTCAAACAGGCCTCTCTCTGAACGACTAAGGGTTGGTGCCTCACGCTGAGCCATGTGCCATGTGCCAACTGTTTGCGTCTGAGCCGCCAGGTCCCAATTCCTGGACCCAGTACCCTGTCTCAACACGGGCCCACTGGGCAGGCGGTAGGGTTTCCACTAGCCGCGTGGTGGAGGGAGTCACTAGGCTTGCCTTGTGACGAAATAGCGGATGGCGCTGCTCCCAGTGCACTCACACAATTATTCTCAGATCAGGAAGAATTCTTTCAAGCATGTTTGCCGACAGGTGGCTGCCAGCCAGCAGCCTGTCTCTTACCGAGGTCAGGTTCTGACCCCGGCTCTTCTTAGGCGGATGGGCAATTGCCCGCCACAGCCTGGCCCCAAGCGGTCTTTTGCACCACGATCTCGGGCAGGTCAGGCCACCAGGCCCCTCCGAGTACTGTCCTGGAATGCCGGCCATCTTGGCCAGCAACAATGGTCGGAAGTCAAGTCATGGCTCTCCACTGAGGCCAAACTCGTCTGCGATGTGTTAGTCCTGCAGGAGACACACTGGCAAGCCACGGCCGAATTTAGTGTTGCAGGCTGGTATTGCGTCTCGTCTGCATCGGCGGCTGATCCGAAAGCCTCTAGGCGAAAGCAACGCGGGGGCAAGGCCCACAAACATCCACCTGCAGAGGCAATGCCTACTGACGATAAGACGACCCCACCCCGCAAGGAGCCCTCAACAACTCGCGCGGACGGGGTCATGGTCTTCCTGTCCCCACACATCCTGCCCAAGAGTGTGCACTGGCAGGAACATGTCATAGGCAGAGCCCTGGAAGTCAGGTTTGACTGGCATGGGGCCCGCATGACGCTAGTTGCTGTCTACCAACACGTTTGGTCCCCGGCCAAGCAGGTGCAGACTAACCGTCAGGACAGAGCGCACGTCCTGAAGGCTCTCGGCCGATGCGTGCAGCGAGTGCCGCACAGAGACACGCTCATCCTGGCAGGAGACTTCAATAGCTCCTTACAAAAGCAGCCTAGGTTGGTAGGTCCCGGGACCACCTGCCCACAAGAACCGAGGCCCGACGAGCCAGAGCTAACCAACTTTCTACTCAATCATCGCTTAGTTGCTCTCAACACGTGGAGGCCTCAGCCGACACATACATTTCGGCAAGGGGAAGCGCGCACTCAGATTGACTTTGTGCTCACGAGGGAGGTCTCTGCTGGTGGCAATGCCAAAGCCTCTACGCCGCTGGCGGATTTCCCGCTGGGCAGCTGGAAAAAAGGCGGGCACTTGCCCATAAGTGCCACTGTCAAGCCAGTTCGGCACTGGAACCTGCCTGCTCCTCAGCTACAGCAACATCACTACGACTCTGCTGCCCTGCAAGCAGCTGTCAGGGACAACACGTTGCCAGCCCAGCAAATGCTCGAGTGGGTCAAAGCACGCCTCACCCCGGACATGCAGCCGGCGTCTTGGGCCAGATAGTCCGGAAACGCGCATAGCCAGACGCATGTGGCGCTCTGCGCGTGGGAGCAATGCTCACCCCAGGGCAGAGTCATCGCCGGATGATGAGGCCCGACAAACCCTGTGTGAGCAGCATAAACAAGCGGTTAAGCAGGCTCGAAAATGCCAAACAAAGCGGTTTCTTGCTGAGGTGGATCAGGCTCTGAGCCAGGGCGACCAGCACCTTGCATATCAGACTCTCAAGCATCTCCGTCCGTGGAAACCGGCCTTGAAAGCACAGCTCAAGGACGAGCAGGGCTTCCTGCTCAGTCCCGCGAACGAACTGGATGAACTGGGGCAGTATGCAGCCAAGGTCTTCGCGGCGCATCCACAGCTTCCGTCGGACTCGGGACTGTTGCCCCTCTTGCCACACACCAAGTTAGCGAAGCACATTGCCTCGATCAAACCTGGCAAGGCAGTTCCAAAAGGAGCGGCACCGGCCGCAGCCTGGAAACTTTGCGCTCAGCCGGTCTCGGAGGCGCTTTCACAGTACTGTTCCAGTCTGGCGCAGGACCAGTCCCTGGACGACGATCTGACTCGCGCGGATCTTTGCCTCATACCAAAACCGGGTAAACCGGCAGACAAGCCTTCCCAACTAAGGCCACTGGGCATCCTTCGCCCGGATGCTAAGGGACTGGCGGGCACGGCCAAGGAGCTCCTGGAGCCTCTCACAGTGCCGTACATGAAGCCACTGCCCC